CACTCGCAAATACTTTCAATCCCTTTTCGATCACAGGAGGCCCTCCCCATTTTATGCTTATGGGATTCTCGTGGTGGGCCTTGAGGTTGTCAATTTCGGCAATAACATCGAAGTCGTCTTCAATTGTCATCGTTTCAGCAACATCAAGCGGGATACTGAAGAGGTTCTTCATGATCTGCGACACGATGGGTGTGACGTAGGTCGTTCTCCTGTGCTTGAGAACCTCTTGTTCCTTGTCAGAAGCGAGCTTTTTGTGCTTGATATTTGACGGGGATCGTGGTATATAGTCGTCCAAATTAAAGTCCAGGTAGTCAGTGGAAAGGACAACTTTTTTGAGGGAAATATTGTAGTCCTCGCACATGTCAGGGAAATATGCTGTCACATATGCTTTCTGTGTAGAACAAAACATTGTTATTTCTGGAGACTAAAAGCCATGGAGAAAGGGGCTTACCACATCTTCTGACTGGATATCAGCTTCAGTCAGAACCCTTCCTAACATCTGAGAGGCAGCGATAGCATCATCTCCTGCAGACATGTCACCTTCAACATCGGACAGAGACTGAAGAAATTCCACATATGACGTGCGAGGCTCTCTCAGTACAACATTGATGAGAGAGTGTAGGACCCGGTGTTTGATCCAGAATGGAAAGAAAAAGGACCTGTACTGCTCGGTGGGAAAGGCCAAAATATACCACGCATAACTCGTGCGTATGTACATTTTACTACGAGAGGATTAGATGGATTGATTAGCCTTGAATACAATACGCACGGATCCGGATCTCCCGTAGCCTCAATAATGCTGTGGAAATTGAACTCGAGGATGGCTGAGAGTTGTATGCGTCTATCCCTGTTCCCCTCATCCTCTTCATCTTCCTCGTTGTCATCTACGTCAACCTCGTCGTCGTCCGTCCACGCCCTCACCAATCCCGAGGCTGCAAATTTCCCTGAAGACCCTTCATCCAGAAGTTCAGCAATTGAGACTAGCTGATTGCTCGAAAGTTCGAAGACGACGAAATCGTCCAAAACACGGACAGGAACGTCGTTTTGGTTTACAAGGGTGTCCAGTTCATCAAGCAGTGTTTCCCCTGGAACTATGAGATCCTGATCTTCAAGGATTTCATCAACGGAGGATTCATATAGGCTTAGACCTGGCAAATAAGAGTCGGATGTGAATACACATGTAAAATACATCAATGAATCATGCGCACCCTCAGGAAGACTCAAATCCCCCAATCTCACATTGGAACCCGATGCAACTGGTGAAGACCCATCCTCAGGAAGACTCAAATCCCCCAATCTCACATTGGAACCCGATGCAACTGGTGAAGACCTATCGTCGTGCGATGGTACAAAGGTTTTTGTGCCCACGTCAAAGTCTGAAACCGTAGGAGAACCGCGAAGACCATTGGGAGCGTTCTCAAAATCCGAGACCGTTGGAGAAAGCCGCAAAGTATTGTTCGCACCCTCAAAATCCGAAACCGTTGGAGAATTTGTCAGATTTAACTAAGGCATAACGAGTAGGCTATCAGTTAGTGCTGAACGATGGACCAACACTAACTCACTTTTCTCTTCTTCGTGGGTGAAGGGGAAGGGGGCGGCGCGCTCCCTTGAAAGGGACGGCGTTTGGGTATCTCAACGCATAGGAACTGGGGCTTCATCCAACTTATTGTAGCGTCGGGGGAACTGTCAGGGACGCGTGAAATATCTCTGAACCCATTCAACAGTTGTTGTTTGTTTCAAACTCCGACGTCGCGTCCGTCTCTCTTCAATCCCACCATGTCCCTTTCCACCCATGAGACCTCCATATCTTTTGAAGATGAGAAAGGCGCGTTATCTGAGATCCATAATATTCTACGTCTGACGACATATATCTCTAGACAGAATCACAGACTTTCTGTCCAAGTTCAAAGGGCAAGAAAAAGACCTCGCCCAGGATTTCGCGAACATCAATCTCGGTGCGGGTGGTGGAAGGGTCGAAAATGTTTTATCCAAGTACATGATACAACTGGTACGCGCTAACTATGGTTTTCACTTTACGAAGTGCTCAAACCAACCTCGATCTTCAGCAAAAGATCGCCAACCGCGACCAACAGTTGCTCTCCATTGACTTGGAAGATATCTACACGGTACGCGTATTTTTACGCGTATTTCCTTGCCATCTGACTCGGTAACCAGCATGAAAACACCTTGTCCGAGCTGGTCTCCCGTATACGCAACAATACCCGTCGATACGTTCTGCTATTCAGCGAGGTCGTCGATAAACTCATGCCATTGCCGACAAAGGATATCAGCGAGAAAGACGAGGTCATCGATGTCATTCTTCACCAGCGTCGTGAAAGGAACGAGCAGATAGAAGGCTCTGCCTCTAGATTCCCTAACCATCTACTACGGAGATAGTGAGTGTGACACCTCTACCGTCCAAGTGCCTGGTCTGACGTCCTTCATAGTAACCTATGCTTCCAGCCACTCAAAAGTGACATCGCAATGGCTGTCCGGGATGTCAGAGGTGCTCACCTGGGTCATTTAATCACCGCTCGAGGGATCGTCACTCGCGTATCCGAAGTAAAGCCCCTCCTGCAAGTCAACGCATACACATGCGATGTCTGTGGCTCGGAAACCTTCCAGGAAATCCACAGCAAGTCGTTTTCTCCTATATTGGACTGCGAGAACGAAAGCGAGTGCAAGAAGAACGGTATCAAGGGTTCCTTGCACATGCAGACGCGAGCTTGCCGTTTTAGCCCGTTCCAGGAAGTCAAAATACAGGAAATGGTAAGCTTATTGCCATCGTATGTATATTCTGAAGGACTCTCTTTGACAATTATGTCAGGCTGACCAAGTGCCAGTCGGCCACATACCGCGGTCGATGACGGTCCATGTCCATGGGACTCTCACAAGGCAGATGAATCCTGGAGACGTGGTCCACTTAGGCGGCATCTTCCTCCCCATACCCTACACTGGATTCCAAGCCATTCGCGCCGGCTTGTTGACGGATACCTACCTCGAGGTCCACCACATTCACCAACTGAAGAAACAATATAATGAAATGGAGATGACGCCGGAGATTGAACGAGCTGTCGCAGAACTCAAACGTGATCCCGCTCTTTACAACAGACTGGCTCAGAGTGTTGCGCCTGAGATCTACGGACACGAGGACGTCAAGAAAGCGTTGGTTTTGTTGCTCGTTGGAGGCGTAACCAAAGTAACTGCGGATGGCATGAAGATCAGAGGAGACTTGAATATTTGTCTAATGGGTGATCCTGGTGTGGCCAAATCTCAGCTACTCAAGTATATAACGAAGATCGCGCCCAGAGGTGTGTATACCACAGGAAAGGGTTCATCCGGAGTTGGTCTTACGGCGGCTGTCATGCGAGACCCTGTAACGGACGAAATGGTGTTAGGTATGCCTTAGGATGCTCTGAAAAGATACTTGACTAATATGTATACCAGAGGGCGGAGCTCTTGTCCTTGCTGACAACGGAATATGCTGTATCGACGAATTCGACAAAATGGAGGAGTCAGATCGAACCGCAATTCACGAAGTCATGGAGCAGCAAACAATTTCAATTTCCAAAGCTGGCATCTCGACCACTCTGAATGCTCGTACATCGATTTTGGCGGCAGCTAATCCTCTATACGGCCGATACAATCCTAAAGTCTCTCCAGTCGAGAACATCAATCTTCCCGCCGCGCTATTGTCGAGGTTTGACTTGCTATTCTTGATACTCGATAAGCCATCAAGAGACGACGACGAGCGCCTCGCGCAGCACGTCACCTATGTCCATATGCACAACCATCACCCAGCCTTAGAGCATGATGTGATAGATCCTCTTATCATGAGGTAGGTCAATCGTTTATCGCCTACTGCTCAAGTCGTTTATTCATTCCAGGCATTACATCGCCATTGCTCGTACCAAGCGCCCAATTGTTCCACCACGGGTGTCCAGTTACGTTGTTGACTGTTATGTTCGGCTTCGGAAAGTGGGCAAAGAGGAGGAAGAGCAGAACAAATCACACACTTATACCTCTGCCCGAACCCTCCTGGGTATCCTCCGTCTCGCACAGGCACACGCTCGTCTTCGTTGTGCAGACGTCGTTGAACGCGAGGATGTCGACGAAGCATTACGGCTTATGTCGTGCAGCAAAGAGAGTCTCCAAGAGGATACGGACAAGGAGTATGACCCGGATAGGTCCACCACGTCCCAGATATACCGGCTTATGAAAAGCATGGAGCGATCCGGTGACAGAACACCTAAACGACGCCCCCAGAGGCGGCAGAAGAAGTTCGGCAAAGGTCCTGCAGGGGAGCGTGACATGGATGTTGACTCGGATGAAGACGACGACGAGTTATCTATGGTTGATGTCCGAGCTAGGGTAATGAACGCTGGGTTCACCGAGGTGCAGCTCATGGACACAATCTCTGAAGTAAGTGTATTATTCCTCGAGAGATATATGAAGTTGACTTGGCAACTAGTACGAGGATATGGATGTCTTGATGCTCGTCAAAAACGGGTCAAAGATACGGTTCATTGGATGATCCACAACCTTCCATAGATTCGTCCATTCTCTCTATGAGAAAGCCTCGATACCTCATAGTGGGACAGCCATCGACGTAAACATTCCAATCGTTGTCTGTCCGTAGGTCGATGGCTGTCCGAGTCGTTATCCGCGTTTTGTACTTGTATAGTGAATAGCTTGGCTTTCTTTTGCTTCATGTATTTGTGTTAGATTATGCCAGTGATACCGCTCTATCGCTTTGAAACCATGCTTGGAGAGCTAATTGAGATGTGAATGCCTACTTCCGTGATTCGGCCGTCGACGCGGTTAGGCTCAAGACCAGTCGTTACAGATAGTACATAAAGGCTTGCAAGTTATTACCCGCTTATGCATCGAAAACAGAAATTCGCCGAGTGATTTTCTCGCTCACTTACTCAAACATAAAACGCCCAAGACTTTCGAGTGTGATGCATATTGCAACGCGTTTAGTCGTCTATATTATAATGTCTTTGCTAGTATATCGGTTAGTACACGCGCCTGTCATACACTAGTATCGCGCGAAAGCTGGGTTCGACTCCCAGGCAGAGAGATATTTTGAGCAAATTTTTTTCGTTCCCCTCAAAAAGCTACAACGGTACCCCTCACCCCAGACTGGACGGCCCAAGGGACCAATTTACCCATTACTACATGTGTTCCAGGCTCCAGTCCGCTTGACTGATGAACGGACCAAGGGATATTTCGTAGAAATGTATTTAGTACTATATGTTATACAAGGGCTAGTGCAATTCAGAATCGCAACTATCTCACTCAAGACTCCAATCTAGACAACCTGCCCTATGAGGCATGCTCCCAGCTACCACCACTACCATCTGGGCTAGACGGTCGACTCGCGCTATCTCTCCGCTCAGGCTCCCGCTCAGGCTCGTCACGATACTTGGGTGTCGGGGCTCCTCCAGCAGTCGAGGGCTCGTCGTCCAAAAACCCGGAATGAAATCCCAATCTATCCACACGTTCATGCGGCTGATTTCCTCGAAGAGCTGCACCCTCGTCTGCATCTTCGTCGTCATCGGACAGCTCCCCGAAGGCATCATAGAGTTCCCTTGTTGGGCGGTTGCCCGTGGGGAGCGTACTGCGACGTCCGGTGGCAAGAGCGCTCATGGAAAGATCATCACCGGCGGGCAGTGCATTGTAGTGGGCGAGACGTGCTTTGCGTCGACGCCAGAAAAATACACCCATTCCAATGGCAAATAGGGCGACTGCGCCGATGGCTCCAAAAAACCATTTTTGGCTGGCTACGAGGTTCGAGAGGCTCGGGAACCAGCCAACGTCTGCAGATGGGACTGGTGTGCTAGTTGGACCGGGCAACGCAGAGGAGAACGCAGGGTTGGTATTTTCGCCAGGCGCAGTGCCGTGGTCGTCCGGAAGATGTGCAGTAGGTTTGCTGAGAACCTTCGTAGATGTTATGGTTGGTGTTGGGAACACTGGAGGTACGATATGAACAGGAAGGACGTTATCCACAAGAGGGACCTCGAATGTCAAAGCTTTCGCAGGATCAATGGTTGAGCCCCAGAATTTCATGTTCCATCCCAGGAATGCGCCATTGCTAGTCTCTGGTGTTTCTTGGTCCGAGACTTTGATGGTCCAGTTACCGACAGGATCTTCACCCCTAGCACAAGGTCAGCACACGGAGGGGTAAATTAGAGAGATGATATCCACCAATGCTTGACAGACATAAACCTCCATCCAGGGAATCCGGTGGTGGCTCTATCGCCAACTCGACGCTTTGCCAGAACGCTCTTGAAGCCCTTGGGGCTTGTGAGCTCAACTTCGACATCGCCACGTGTTCGGTGGTCTATCCACACTTTAACATTGATGTGTTCCAGAGCCTCGAAGTTGTTTTCCTGCAGCATCTCCTGGGTGATTGTGATGGTGCTCGTGATACCGCCTTCGGTAATGAATTGACCACCAGAGTAGTTCTCTTCTGTATCCATGGTGCCATTGTTAAGTTGAACCGCCGGGGTCTCGAACCACGCTTGAGGCTTGACAAGCTGCCAAGACTGGGCTGCTGTGACATATCTCCCCGCATCTAAGACGCCGAAACCATACTTGTAACTGTAGAGCCGGCCATTCGCTGTAGCTTCCCAGTCGGGATCTTCTGGGTTGATCAGACGAGCGGTTTCGACGCACAGGTGCTGAATGTCGCGCCATGATAAATCAGGACTGAACGTGGTAGGCGTCAGTTTGAAATGCAATCCGAAGTGTAATCAAAACTTACCGAGCCTCTAATGCCAGAGCAAATACGCCAACAGCGTTTGGAGCTGCTGCTGATGTTCCACCATGGGATTGGGTGCACGCGTTTTTTCCCTTGTCGGAGGTTACCTGGAAATGTTGTTTAGCGAAGGAATCGGTATAAATTTGAAGGCAACGAACGATGTGCTTGCCACTCCCAGAACTGTAAGCGACGACCATGTTGGCTGCGCATGGTTCCGAATAATATGGATGCAAGCCCTTGTAGTCAACCGCAGACACTGTCACAGAATAGATGCTATTGGTGTACCCATCGAAGTTGCACTGGTCGCCGCTGGCCGCACCATTCCCACTGGCAAAAACAAAGATAGAGCCCTTTCCACCCCTGCCGTTGTTGATTCCATTGACGACAGCCTTGTCGATGAGATACCCGGGGCCTTCCATGGCCTGGCCATTGTCAGGGGGTCCCCAGCTGCAGCTGTAGATAGAAACGTTATGGAAACCATAGTTGAGCGCAGCTGCCTCGTCCACGTCGGATATAGGCCCTGAGAGGATGCGGACGCCTGCAACCTTGGATTCGTAAGCGATACCGATTCCACATGCATTGTTCTTGACTGCTGCAATCTGTCCAGCACAACGTGTTCCATGGTGGTCGTCGAACTTCTTCGGAGTGGGCAGCGGTTCATGATCGTTAAAGTCATACGAGTCGTCGGCATCCTGTTAGAAGCATTAGAATATACTAAGTAACACGAATTGAAAACTGACAAAATTGTCTTTGAGATCATCGCTCGTATAGTCGAGACCATCGTCCACGAGAGACGAAATAACGCCTTTGCCAGTAAATCCCATCTCCCACACGGGAGTTACGTTCATCATGTGTTCTGGGTAGTCGTTGTTGACCAGGTGCCACTGTTTTGAGAACAAGGGATCGGCGATGCCGAAATGTGAGGCGACACCTTCAGAGGATGGTTGAAGGGGTGGAGGTGCACGTTTTATCCGTCGACGTAGCGTCTGTCGCGAGAGATATCTGGTGGATGAGACGACTGCTCGAGCACGAACAGCGTCCTCTGAGCGCGACGCCCAATGCACGTTCTCTGCCGCCTCTACACTTCGACGCAGGGTGTTAAAGATGTGGAGGACGGGATCGGGGTCGGGGTCATTGCTCCGTGAAGTCAGGTCTGGTTTTGGGGCTCGGACAAGCCACATGTTCATGAGTTGGCCAGCCTGCTCGACAACCTCCACGCCCAGAATAGCTGCGATTTCGGTCAAAGATGCTCCTGCCAGCGGATCATGTTCAAGGACATAGTAGTTGTGTGTGGTGTAGGAGCGCTTTGCGGGAATAAAAGCGAGAACAGAATGCTGAAGGAGGGCGAGGACAAGAGTCCAGGGCAGCTTCATGAGGAAGACTGCGGGGTAAAGGAGCGTAAAGCTACGTGGAGGTATAGAGATGCACGAATGTTTTGACGGAATTCAAACTCTCTATCTCGCTGTTACCTCAATCTCGGCAGACTCCGTCGATCATGCGCCCCAGTCATTTTACCAAAACCTTGACACTGACACTGCACTGACATGCTCTCTTCGTTGTATTTTATTCAGGTACGTACAACTTTAGAACCGAAAAGATAGATGGAGCGGATTTATTGCACACCAATCGGTCTACTGGATTTGGGTGGTACCTCAGGCTCGTCTCGGTACCTGGGTGTGCGCACTGTCCCCGCTGTTGACAAAGCGTCATCGTGGAGGAAGCTGGAATGGAAGCCCAGTCCCACAGACATCCGATCCTGAGGATGAAGACCAGCAGATGGTACAAGACCTGCCGGTTCCGCGCCATACCCGCCACTAACCCCACTCACGGAATCCGTTCCATCGTGGAGTGTAGAGTAGTTCCTCATCCGGTTCTGGCGTATCCTGAAGAAGATGCCGACAACAAGCATTGATAGCAGTGAGCCGCCGATGAGGCATCCAGCAAATATCTTGTGGGAACAGACGATGTGTGACACTTCAACAAGCAAGTCGCTATACTTCAGTTTCGCATTAGCCGCGGAGCTTTGGCTGGGCATGTGGGAGGTGGAGGCCGATGCGGAGGCCGAAGTAGCTGTGGGTGCTGCGCTCTCAACGTGAAGGAAGGCAGTTGGTTTGATGTGCTCTTTGGTGACGCTTGGAACATCAATGACCGGTCTGTAGGGAATATCGACAGGGGGGAGGACATTGTCGACAACAGGAACCTCAAATTTTTCGGCTTTCAGTGGGTCAATGGTTGTACCCCAGAATTTCATCTTCCAGCCAAGGAATTTGCCTTCTTCATCTGCCGAGTTCTGGTCCGAGACTTTGATCGTCCACTCACCAAGAGGATCTTCCCCCCTACGATGACAATGAGATCCCAAGGGTACAAGGGAAAACGCAATGGGACTTACCAGTGCTTGATGGACATGAAGACCCAGCCCGGAAAGCCGTTCTTCGAGTCATCACCAGATCTTTTCTTTCCCAAGATACTCTTAATACCCTTGGGGCTAATAACCTCAACCTCGACATCTCCTCGTCGAGTATGATCGATCCAGACTTGAACGTTGATGTGCTCCAGCGACTCGAAATTGTTCTCCTTCAACATTTCCTTGGTAATGGTGATCTTGCTCGTCACACCGCCAGGCCCAATAGGTGTACCACCGGAGTACTCCTTCGATACATCCATCTTTCCATCCGCAAGCTGGACCACAGGAGAATCAAACCATGCCTGAGGTTTGACCAGGTCCCACTTTTGGGCGGCTGTGACGAATTTGTAGGCATCGAGCACACCATAGCCATACTTGTAGCTGAATTTCCTGCCAGACGCGGTAGTCTCCCAGTCAGGATCCTTAGGATTGACCATCTTGGCGGTTTCAATGCTCAAGTATTGTATATCGCGCCAAGTGAGTTCCGGCCTAGTGGGAAAATGAGAACGATTAAACATGCTTGAGAATAGTACCTACCGAGCTTGGACGGCGAGGGTGAATACTCCAGCCGCGTTAGGAGCAGCGGCCGAAGTTCCACCATGATTTGTCGCACACTCATTCTTGCCTTTGTCGGTTGTCACCTGGTTAAGAAGAGGCTCAGAAAGTTTCTGGACGCATCGAAAGGTAACAACATACGATGTGGTTTCCGCTTCCGGAACTATAGGCGGTCACCATGTTGGCTGCACAAGCCTCAGAATAGTAGGGGTGTTGTCCTGTGTAATCGAGGGCCGAGACGGTCACAGAATAGATGCTGTTTGTATATCCATCGTAATTGCACTGATCCTCGTGTCCTCCTCCGTTGCCACTGGCGAAGACAAAGATTGAGCCCTTGCCGCCTCTGCCGTTGTTGATA